AAATATAAATAATGATTCGGCTGATGAATATTCAACTGATGAGTTTGATGAATAGATTTTTCAAAATAAATATACATATATTAATATAAATAAAATCTTCATTTTGAATTGTTAAATAAGTTTATTTTAAGTTTTAGGTAGTGCTTATTTTCGTTCTTTAGGTCATTTTTATTCAAAGTCAGAGTGGTGTTTAAAATCGACAGAATACAGTAATTTTATAAATATATATTATATCATAGTAATTTATTAGTTTTTAAAAATATTATGATTTATTTTTTATTTTTATTAATAAAATATTAAAAGATTAATTTTATTATTTAAAATATATATAAAAATTTATAAAATTTTTTATTTATTATATTAATACAAATCATAATATTTATATAAATTATTATTTTAATTTTAATTAAATCATTATAAATTATATTATGTATATATTTTGGCTTTTATAAATAAAAATTATCAAGTTAAAAAAGAAATTATAAAAAAAAAATAGAATATAAAAATTAAGAATAAAGAAAAAAAAATAGAATATTTTTGATTAAAAGTAAAATTAAAATTTATTTATAACTTTCTTTAAATAATTTAAATAAATTTAAAATAATATAATTATACAATTTGATTAATATTTATAATACTTAAATAATAAATTATTTTTTTAAAAAAATTTTTAAATAATCAAATATAAATTTATAGATTATTAAAAACAATTTATTGGCAAATATTCTGTAAAAATTAATTTTTATTATATATATTTTATATTTTAAGTAATTGCAATACAAAAATAAAAATAAAAAATTTTTTTTTTTAAAATTTATAATATTTTATCAAACAAATATATATAATATATAATTATTTTTCTTAATTTATTTATATTTAAAACTGTATCAATGAAACTTTATAATATTATTAACAATAATAAAATAATCTTACTTTTTTACTTTATATATTTAAATTACTATTATTATAAAAATCAAATATTTATAAATAAGTATAATCTTTACTATTAATATATATAAATTCTTTTTTTCTTATTTTATCTATGTTTAAACATTAAAACATTAGGAATGAACATTTAGAAATTTAGTCACTAGAACCATGACCTTAAAATATAATCTAAAGTTTTACAATAAAGAGAATGAAGATAAATATGAATAAAACTGATTATTTAAATATATAGAGAAACAGTTCAATTATTCAGGATGATAATAAATAGAGATAGGACACAAAGATGTTGGAAAAATCATAAAACAGAATTCGGAAATGAAATGAGAAAATTGAAAATTTTTTAATAAGGCAAAGGCGATTAAAGAATAAAAATATGGATAAAGTATTTGCAAATGTAATAAATTTTTTAGATTTATATTATTTTATATATCATTAAAATGTCACTAATGAATCGTATTTTATTAATGTTTTTTCTACGAAAGAAGAATATTATAATTCCACTAAGATATGATAGGTGAATAATATGCACTACATTGCCAATATATTAGAACTAAAATTTCTTGGCTTTTCCTTTGCCAAGAATTTTTCTGCGTTGACCAATCATATGAGTATACATTGTATAAAATCCTGGCACATAAATCAATAAGATAGTAACCAGTGCCCAATAAAAACTTGTACTAATTTTTATGGCATACGGTAGTGATTCAAATACTAATACTGCTTCACTGCCTGCTCCAACGGGATACAGAATAAAAAAGAATGTATACCTATTTACCAGCAACAAGAAATTTTTTTAACAAAATGTAAAAACTTCTTAAATTACTTCAAAATAAATCACTTTACCTGCACCATAATAACCACCCTGGTTGACTTCCTACAAGGTTTAATCCGTAAAATGCATATCTAATACATTCAGTTATACTCCATGCCATTGTCATACTTGTAAATGCCCAATGAGATCTTATCTAAGAAGAAACATTTCTTTAATACGACTTCTTTTTTTTTTTTGGATAATATTATAAGATATATGTAACTTACTTCTGGAAAATTATTTACAATTATCCAAACGAGAGTCAAACGCGAAGCAACTTGAATAATTGTAGTTGGAAGAGAAGATCTTACCAACCCTATTTTAAAAAATACGATCAGATCCATGAAAAAAAAAAATCGTAAAATCCCAGGAGCTACCAAATTAAATTTATTCGCGAATTACCTAGAAGAACATGAAAAATCTATGAAATTGCAAATAAAATTTCTTTTATTAAAAAGATTATTTCATTAATTTTATTATATCAAACTTTGGCGATAAAATACCTCCAAGATAGCTCCAGTTTGTACAAGCTTTAACGTCCACCCTATTTTATCATATGCTTTTGCTAAATCATCATTTACAATTAACTCCAGAATGGATAAAAGAATGTAACTCCAACCAGCCCATGAAGCTGCATTATAAAATATTAAGTAGCCATTTAAACCTCTCGTAGTTTCAACTTTGTTTTTTGAAGACATTACGAAAATTTTAATTGCAAATATAGAAGTAGGACCATTACCTGTTTCAATTCGAAATTTATCACGATAAAGGGAAATTGATTTGCGTTTTTGAAATTAAAATTGCTAAATATATCTTTATTAAAAGTTTGAAATAAGAAATGATTTGCGCGTTACATGTGATCTCGGCATTGAAAATCATTGTTACACGCGTTTACATTGGATTGCGCCAATTTTTATTACCAGTCTTATTTACAGAAGGTAAAAGAAAAAAAAATGATTGAAAAGTTCTTTATGAAAAAAAAATAGAATAAACCCTAATATTATCTAAATTTTAAGATTTTTATATTTTTTATATTTAATTTTTAACTTTTTTTTTTATATTTTCAGATAATTTGCAGAATCAAGGATTTATCCAAAGGTAATTTGAGAACCACCACCACCGGGAGGTTTCAAGATACTAATAATAACGAAGATTAGTTGTAATATATTTATTAAAATTTAACTCCGGTAAAAGAATTTATGATCTGCTACTCACCGACTTGAAGGCTTGACGGAAGGACGTTGTTGTTCATCACCAAATCCAACAGATGACTCGAATTGAGATTTTCCTCGTCTCTTGGAAGATCCAGATATAGAAGTGTCTTGTTGTGCCTCGTAATTATCATCTCCGATAGAAAAATGAGATGCATTTTTGTTGGAATTGAACCTGCTACGTTGGGAATCTGAATTTTTTTTTTTTTTCAAAAAATATTAGCTACTAATGATTGAAACAATACTAACTTCTCAATGCTATTTACTTACTTTCATCATAGGTATCACTATCACCAAATACGGAAGATTTACCACCCGTACCGCCAGGCTGATTAACGCGACTACTAGTATGGACATTTCGACGACCAGTCTGTTGCTGTTGTTGTTCTGATCCAGTTATTTGAGCGTCTTTTTGTACATGGTTCTGCTCTTCATCTCCAAAAGAGAAATGAGACGCATTTTTATTGGAATTGTATCTGCTGCGTTGATTATCTGAAATTATTTTGAAAATGTGCTTAGTGATAATTCAAATAAATTTTCAAAGCAAATAATATATTACTTACTTTCTTCGTAAGAATCATTATCACCAAATACGGAAGATTTGCCACCCGTACCGCCAGGTTGATTAACGCGACTAGTAGTATGAACATGTCGACGAGAAGATATCTCTGGTTCTATATATTATTGCTTCGTTTAGTGAATTGTTGACAAAGTATTTTTTTTTTTTTTTTGTTTAAAAAAAAAATTCACTTGCAAAACTTACGGTTAACATTCATTCGAGCTACACCGGCTGCCAAACGATCAGCTCTACCAAATGGATTGAGATGGGCGCTTGTAATATCGCGTACCACATCTATTTGTCTATCGCTAACTATTGGCCAAGAAGAATTCTTATCGGAAATCCTATAAATATTAATTGATCAATCACACGAAATTGCGACGTGAAAATTCAATATATAATAAAATAATTACAATTTAAGTTGTTTCAAGACAGATGCTTGATCCCAATATACACGCTTTAAATTCAATAATACAAATAATTAAATAATGTTTAATATGAAAATTATATAAAAATATTAATGATCACATACTATAGAAGAGATCCTATCGCCCTCTAATATCGCAGAAGTCACCTAAATATGAAAAAAAATTTAATGTCACATGATAAACACAAAAAAAATCTTGACAAAGAACTGAACTTACCGTAGGAATTACAACTTGACTGTCAATCGTGTAACGACCATCAATACCTGGCACAAGCCAAACACCATCACCGTTAATAAAATTGATTGTAGTTTCCGATTCTTCAACAATGGAGTTTTCTCCGATGGTTTGGATAAGGACTCTTTCTACAACTCTAAGCATACGAGAGTCATATGCGGTAGAAAGGAACTGTCTAACAGCATCGTACCCTCTTGCACCAGCAGCTGTTGGTACGAAGACGAATGAAGCGTTGTCAGTGAAATGATCACCGTCACGTTGCTTTTTGTATTGTTCCCAAACTTCTCTAATAGACATTTTGTAAAGTTTTACTTGGTTAATAAGTTTTTTTTTTTTTTCGTTCGTGTTTTTTATTAAGAAATAATATGATCAAATAAGCAAAATATGTTATGCGTATATTTAAAAGAGAAAAGAAGGGAAAAAAAAAAAAAAACCGCGAAGATAATTTTTTAGCTTTTGAAAAAAAAAAAAATAGGACAGCGGCTTAAGAATTGATTTTGAGACAATGGATCACATTTTTGTCATTTTTTTTTTTTTTTTTTTTTGATAGGCAAACATATATAAAAAGATAATTTGCACCTTTTTTTATAGGTACAAGGAAAGGATGCACAATGTTTCAGTCAGAAAACGCCGTTCTGCGTTCGATTTGGACAAATCCTTTAAGATGTATCAAATTATTTTGCGAGGTACAGCACCAATAACGGATTGCATCTTTAACATGATCAATGATTCAATAATAGGTAAGCGTATGATCCAGATTTCAGGGTATGCTGTGACAGGAAACACAAACTTTATTATTTTCGCACTTATTATGCACTTTTGAGTTCTTCTACTTCCTCTTGTTGCTAAATTAATAAAGATATCATTTTAACTTTGCAACATAAATCAAAAAGTTAGGTATTATAATAAAATAAAATACCAATAATTTTTGTTGTTCTAGAAACCAAGAAGGTAAATTATGAGGGAGAGTGATTAAATCCATATCAAACAGCTCAATAAATTGTTCGTTTACATAACGCGCTTTATTTCCTGCAAAACAACGGTACTTTCATTTAAAATAAAATAAAAAAGATTTTTGTTTACCATTTGTAAATTAATTGAATTGCAAGAGATATAATAAAAACTTTACCTCTGCAGCAATCGAGTTAAAATTCCAATTTTGTAATTTACGCAAACATCCGACAAATGTTCCAGTTTCGTGGATACCTGATCTTTTTTACGCGTATTGCAATATGTCCAGTCTCGTAATTCAATAAATAAAAGAGTTCACTTAAAATTAAATAATTGTTTATGAAACATTACGTGCACATAACAAGTATCGGATAGTTTTCAACATCTAATGCCATTTCCAATCCATCTTTTATTAATTCTTCGCTAACAGGTCGCCAACCAAGATTCGGTTTCCAAAATTTCCAAACTCTCAGTCCTAAATGAACCTTTATAACGTGTAAAAATAATGAATAAAATTGCTACAAACTATATTTTATATAAAGGTACCAATTTAATGTTATTATCCTCTAAGAAGTTAGTTACAGCACGAGTGGGAACTTCAGGCGATAGTACGAGAACTGTTTTTAGGTGAAGTGCTTTAATGAAAGAAAATTGAGAAGGATGTAACATGTCTGAACGATAAACGCCTTTTTCGATAATTCCAAATTGTTCAGGTGGAGTCAACATTATTGTAAAGAGTGATTGATTAATGGGGATTGGGAGGGAATCTACATTCTGATTAGGAAAAAAAATCTACCAATCAAATCTCATTCCTAAATTTTTAGGTTGATTCGCATAAATAATTCGTTTTTCTCGAAAAAAAGGTTCTCTCTCTTTCATAATATCTCAAGAATTGAAGGTTAGTATAATGTTTATTCATCCATCCTGGGTAAATTCATTATCATTCAGGCTGTTGATATATGTCAAGAACTTACATTTTTTTTTTTTATTCATGTTCTGACTTTTTATTGGAATTAAAGGTTATTATAATTGATATTTTTTTTTTTTTTTTTTTTTTAGCATTTGCGAAAATGACGGAAGCAACTATGGCAGTACAGACATATGGTCGTAAAGTTAGTAATTATTTTCAATGATTTTTATAAAAAATAAAATTATTTTTTTAATTTAATTATTTTACGAGTTTGAATTTTTCTTTAATCATTCATCCAATCGTTAAATTGACGAACATAATTGAATGTCATTAAATTTCAAATTGTAGAAAACCGCGACCGCTGTTGCTCATTGCAAACGTGGCAAAGGCCTTATTAAAATTAACGGATCACCTATCCATTTAGTTGAGCCAGAAATTCTAAGATTTAAGGTTTACGAACCTATATTACTTTTGGGACAAGATCGATTCGCTAATGTAGATATCAGAGTTCGAGTAAAAGGTGGTGGACATACATCCCAGGTCTACGCTATCCGTCAAGCAATCGCTAAAGCAATAGTTGCTTTCTATCAAAAGTATGTCGACGAAGCACAGAAAAAGGAAATCAAGGATATTCTCATCCATTATGATAGATCTTTGTTGGTTGCTGATCCCCGTCGCTGTGAGCCAAAGAAATTTGGAGGTCCAGGTGCCCGTGCACGGTATATATTTTACTGTTATGGTTTATTATTAGTTTTTGATAATTTAAATAATATATATCTAATCCTTTTCTAATTAATTATGATAGCTACCAAAAATCCTATCGTAATTATATTTTTATTTTGTATTATTATTTTTTATTTGAGGTTTTATTAACATATTAATTAATACTCTCTCTATTTTAACTTTTTTTCAACTTATAGGTTAATATGTATTTAATCATCATGTATTGAAATAAAAGAATAATATAAATCACGTGATTCAATATCGGTTGTGAACGAAATTATAAGAAAAAAAAATTTTTTTTTTTTTGAATTAATTTGATTTACCCTTAAACTTCATCTTGACACTATAATCGTATCATATAATCCCCCTTGAGAAATAATAAAAAAGCATATTATGAGTCATTTTGACTGAAGATTGTTCATGTTGTATAATTGATAATTTATGGAATTTGCAAACCGAATCCGAATAAAAAAACGTAAAAATGGCCGGGAGACTCTACGGGCTTCAAAAACAGATGTCTCGGTTCGGAAACAACTCCGGCAAAATTAAAATCATTATTTATTATAGTGTCCTCATTCCTTTAAACCTTATTAAATTTATTTCAAACCAGCAAAGAATAAATATCTTCAAATTAACATTTATTAACAATAGATCTGCTGCTTTCTTTAGGGAACGTCATTTGGCGCGTTCTTCTGAGCCTTCATTACTTTATGACAAGATAAAACCTTCAGAATATCTTAGACAGGTCGATCCGTTAAATTTAAATTCAGCGAGACTTGCTTCGAATATTATCAGCTTATTACCTTCAAAAAGAATAAAAGTACACGGTCGTAATTATTTATTGAACGCGAATAAGCCGTTATTAACATATTTTTCTACTTGTGGTTCAAAGAAAAAGGATAAAAAGATGGATGAACAACTAGCTTCAGAAATGGCAGCAGCGAGAGTTAATGATACCATAATTCGTACAGCTGATCAAGGCTCTTCACTGAGTTTTAGTCCGGTTACGCCGGTTCCTCAAGTTAAAGGAGCGGATTTAGAGAATAATAAACTCGATTCATTTCGTAGCTTTGTAGCTTCAATAGTTGCCAAATTTTCTGGGAAATCGGCCGATGATATTATAGGGATATTAGAAGTCCCCAAAAAACCGGAATTTGGTGATATTGCTATCGCCATTCCTAGATTGCGTATAAAGGGCAATCCAGCACAAATAGCACAAAAATGGGTTGACGAGGTATATATGTTTAATTTAAGTTAATTTAATTTATTATTTAATGTTTTGATTAAATATTTATTTATTTATTTAGTTTGTACCTAATGAATATATCATTTCAAGTTCTGCAGAAGGGCCTTACTTAAATTTTAAGATCAACAAATTACTCCTTGCTAATGTGCTTCTTGATGATATATATAAACGAAAAGAAAAGTACGGAAATAATCAATCAGGAATTGGCAAAACAGCCCTTGTAGAGTTTAGCAGTCCCAATATCGCAAAGCCATTTCATGCTGGTCATTTGCGCAGTACGATCATTGGCAACTTTGTCAAAAATGTACATGACGCAAATGGTTGGAAAACAATCGGTATGAATTATCTTGGAGATTGGGGTAAACAATATGGTAAGTTTATTTAACGATGATTTCTTTTACAACTTTATCGTAACTTTACCCCTTAATTTACTTTTTCGATCTCAGGCCTTTTAGCTGTTGGGTTTGAAAAACATGGCTCTGAGGAGGAATTGATCAAGGATCCTATTAAGTATTTATATGATATATACGTGAATGTTAATGTAAGTTATCGAAACGATTCAAGACCATATACATGTATAAAATTTTTTTTGATCTAACATGTTCGCGAAATTGTATAGAAAGAAATTGATAAGGATGAAACAATTAATGAAAATGCTCGTGCTTATTTTAAAAAAATGGAAGATGGTAGGTTATGATCTCCTTTTATAATTAATTAATATCTTAAATTATCAATCAACTATATTCGGACTTTGATACGTTTTTAGGCGATGAAGCAGCACTCGTATTATGGAAAAAGTTTAGAGATCTGAGCATTGATAAATATAAGGAGATATATGCTCGTCTTAACATTAATTTCGATGTTTACTCTGGGGAATCTCAAGTTAGCAATGAAAGTATGAATCGTGCTATGAAAGTACTAAAAGATAAACACATTATAAAAGAATCTGAGGGTGCATTAATTATTGATTTGAGTCAGTATAAAATGGATGTTGCTGTTGTACAAAAGAATGACGGCACCACATTATATATTACTAGAGATATTGGGGCTGCTATGGAAAGATATGAGAAGTATAAATTTGATGCAATGTATTATATTGTTGCTTCTCAGCAGGATTTACATTTAAAACAGCTCTTTAAGGTATTAGAATTAATGGGCATGGAGTGGGTAGATCGATGTAAACATATCAATTTTGGTATGGTTAATGGGATGAGTACTCGTAAAGGAACTGCAGTTTTCTTGGATGATATCTTGGACCAAACCAAAGAATCGATGCATGAAGTGATGAGGCAAAATGAAAAAAAATATTCACAAATTGACAATCCTGATCAAGTAGCGGATATAATTGGTATTTCCGCTGTAATGATTCAGGACATGTCTGCTAAAAGGTAGTTTTGTGTAATTTTTATCTTTTTTTATTTTATTTTGTTTGTATGTAAATTAAATTGTAATTCTGTCTTTAACATATAGAATTCGTAATTACGCTTTCAATTGGAATCGCATGTTTTCCTTTGAGGGTATGGCATCATTAAGATTTTCATATGAACAATTATGCGTGATGTCATTTTACTAAAGGCGTTTACGATGTCATTTTGTAGGGGATACTGGACCTTATCTTCAATATGCACACGCTCGTCTTTGTTCAATTGAAAGAAACTGCGGATTTGAAATTAATCCAAACATTGATATTAGTCTACTTTCAACAAAACCGGCATTGGACCTTATTGATACTATTGCACAATATCCTGATTTTGTCAAAGCGGCGTTATACACATTGGAACCTTGTACGATTGTGACATATGCAATGAAACTAAGTCACACTGTATCTGTAGCTTTAGAAACTCTGTGGGTTGTTGGACAAGAACGTAAAGTAGCAGAAGCTAGATTATTAATGTATTGGGCTAGTCGAATAACGCTTGGAAACGCCCTTAAATTATTGGGATTAAAACCTTTAGAGAGAATGTAAACTTAATATTTAAAATATTACAAAAAAAAAAGAAAAATTTAATCATGATCGCCTGGTCAAAAATGCGTAAACACTTTTTTTTTGTGAATTTTTAAGAGGATTTGAATTATTCCGCGGCTTTGAATTGAGCATATTTTTTTAGCCTTTGCATGTCCCACATTAAACTGCGGTCCACACCAGAATCGTCTTAGGCAATAGGGCAATGACGAATTTCTTGTAAATCGTTTTTTCATACAATATTATGTTAATTTTATATTATACTTTAAAAAAATTTCTGCGGTATACTGCGGTAAGATCCGACATAACTGCGGCTGAGTGATTATAAAAGATCGGATGATTTCAATGAAAAATTTCCTGTTGAGCAGGAATTCTCGCAATAAACGGACTTTGAGAATTTTTTATTTCCCTCCAGGATCCCATCCATCCTCTTTTTATTTCTTTGATTAATTCTTTTATCGATTTATAAACGAAAAAATGGTATGTTAATATATTAATGACTTCTTTTTATTATGTTACATAACAAATTTTTAAACATTTGAACATTGAAGTGTTCGTTCTATGAGAAGGAACGTTATGTATCATCGCACTGATTTTCTTCTTTATATTACTTTGTTTTTGTAAATACATAATAGGTGAACTTTACAGTCGACCAGATTCGTGGTCTTGTATGTATAAATCTATATTAAAAAACATATATATATATTTCTTCATGAATTAGATACATTATTGATTTTGTCATGAAAATTAATCGTTGAAAACGTTCTTATTTTAAAATTATAATAATGAATTAGATGGACCGCGTTTCCAACGTGCGTAATATGTCCGTTATTGCACACGTCGACCACGGAAAATCTACGCTCACCGATTCGCTTGTATCCAAGGCCGGTATTATTTCTTCACAGAAAGCTGGCGAAGCACGTTTCACAGATACTCGTGCTGACGAACAGGAACGTTGTATCACGATTAAATCTACAGCCATTTCAATGTATTTTGAATTGCCAAAAGATGATCTAGTAGATGTAAAGCAAAAGACTGATGGTATCATCAATCAATTCACTTTATTTTTCTCGTGATTTACTAAACCTCATCGTTCCTTAATCATTTTATTTTTATATATATTTGTTATGATCATTTAATCAGGCAACGAATTCTTGATTAATTTGATTGATTCTCCTGGACACGTGGACTTTTCATCTGAAGTAACAGCTGCTCTTCGAGTTACTGACGGTGCCTTGGTTGTTGTTGATTGTATTGAGGGTGTTTGTGTACAAACAGAAACCGTGTTACGTCAAGCCCTTACTGAACGAATCAAGCCCGTAGTAATTATTAACAAAGTCGATCGTGCCCTGCTAGAATTACAACTTACCAAAGAAGATTTGTATACAGTATGTGTAAAATTTAGATATAATTTTGTTGTAATTTAAGTAAAATGTTTTAGTAATTTATTTTAAATATTTTTTAGTCCTTCCAACGTACAATTGAATCGGTAAATGTCATCGTTTCAACTTATTTCGACCAAAGTCTTGGGGAAATTCAAGTTTATCCTGAAAAGGGTACTGTCGCTTTTGGATCCGGACTTCATGGTTGGGGGTTCACCCTTCGTCAGTTTGCCAAACGATATTCTAAAAAATTCGGTGTTGACCAAGAAAAAATGATGCAAAAACTTTGGGGTGAAAACTTTTTCAATCCTAAAACAAAGAAATGGACCAAGCAAGCTGGTGACAACACTGAACGAGCTTTCTGCATGTTCGTCTTGGACCCTATCTTTAAATTGTTTGATGCCATTATGAACTTTAAGAAAGATGAAGCTGCAAAGATGATCGAAAAATTGGAAATTACCTTAAAAAGTGAAGAAAGAGAATTGGAAGGAAAAGCCCTTCTTAAGGTCGTAATGCGAAAATTCTTACCTGCCTCAGACGCTTTACTAGAAATGATAGTAATCCACCTTCCATCACCTGTAACCGCACAAAAGTATCGAGCTGAAATGTTATACGAGGGTCCTGCTGACGATGAATGTGCCATCGGTATTCGTGACTGTGATCCCCATGCACCACTTATGTTGTACATATCTAAAATGGTACCGACATCTGATAAAGGTCGTTTCTATGCTTTTGGACGTGTATTCTCTGGTACTGTTAGATCTGGTCTTAAAGTTCGTATCCAAGGTCCTAACTATCTACCCGGTAAAAAGGATGATTTGTTCGTCAAATCTATTCAACGTACAATTCTTATGATGGGCCGTTATGTTGAACCTATCGAAGATTGTCCTGCCGGTAACATCGTTGGTCTTGTTGGTGTAGATCAATATTTACTCAAATCTGGTACTATTACCACTTCGGATTCTGCTCATAATTTGAAGGTCATGAAGTTTTCAGTGTCACCTGTCGTTAAAGTAGCTGTTGACGTAAAGAATGCAAACGACTTACCTAAATTAGTTGAAGGATTAAAACGTTTATCTAAATCAGATCCTTGTGTGCAAGTTAGTACTTCTGAATCCGGTGAGCATATTGTAGCTGGCGCAGGAGAATTACATTTGGAAATTTGTTTAAAGGATTTAGAAGAAGATCATGCTCAAGTTCCAATCAAGACTGGTGATCCGGTAGTATCATATAGAGAAACTGTTCAAGCTGAGTCATCAATAACCGCCTTATCTAAATCACCGAATAAACATAACCGTATATTTATGAAAGCTTCTCCGTTACAAGAAGAGCTATCAAACGATATCGAAGCGGGTAAAGTTACTCCACGTGATGATTTCAAAGCACGTGCACGTATCCTCGCCGAAACGTATGGCTGGGATGTTACTGATGCTCGTAAGATCTGGTGTTTCGGACCTGATACCACTGGTCCAAATCTGTTAGTAGATACGACCAAGGGAGTTCAATACCTTAATGAAATTAAGGACTCTTGCATTGCTGCCTTTCAATGGGCCACAAAAGAAGGTGTTTGCGCTGAAGAAAATATGCGTTCCTGCCGTTTCAACGTTCTTGATGTAGTCTTGCATGCTGATGCTATACATCGTGGTGGTGGTCAAATCATTCCTACTTGTCGTCGTGTCATTTATGCTTCAGCTTTAACAGCCATCCCTGGTCTCTTGGAACCTGTTTTCCTTGTCGAAATCCAATGTCCTGAAGGTGCTATGGGTGGTATTTATGGTGTTTTGAATAGACGTCGTGGTCACGTCTTTGCTGAAGAACAACGTCCTGGTACTCCATTGTATAACATAAAAGCTTACTTACCTGTAAGTACTTAATTTGTAATTTATATCAACTTCTTTGTATGTCCTAATACTTATTTATATATATATATATATATTTTTTAAATCATAGGTAAATGAATCCTTCGGTTTTACTGCCGATCTTCGTTCAAATACAGGAGGACAAGCTTTCCCTCAAGCTGTATTCTCTCATTGGCAACTTATGAACGGAAATCCACTAGAAGCCGGTAAAGTAGCAGACATTGTTAAGGGAATAAGAAAGAGAAAAGGTCTCTCCGAAGAAGTATGTATTTTTTTATTTACTTTATATATGCATGATTTATCTATCAAATACTCTTACATTATTATTAATCATGCAATTTTTCCGAACTTATTAGATACCTAGCTTGGATAAATATCTTGATAAATTATAAATGTGTGATCCCGTAGAATCATAAAAAAAAAATTTCATGCAATTTGCAATTTAAATATATAAAAATTTATGATTAAATAAAATTAATAATATTAAAATATTTTTTTTTATTTAAGTCGAATAAAGATTTAATTTTCTAATCATCCTATAAGCTTTCAAGTGATTTTGTTAATGACATCTCATTTATTTTTGATTCAAATAAATCGAAAAGGCGGTGGCGGTAATAAAATCACCGATATTGTCTTGCGAAAAATTACGTATTGCTTGGACTTTGGTTTTGGAATAATCCAAGCTGGTGGTGTCAACTGCACGTTAATGGTAGTGAGGTGGTGGGCATTGGTATCTATTGGCAAGTTGGTCAACTTTAAGGAAAATTCCATCTTAGCCGGTCATCATTAATTAGGTCCAAGTTTTTAATAAAAATAATCAAAGTATTCATTTAAAATTTTGCTTATATCCAGATTAATTCAAAATTTTCGGTTATAAGAATCTGAGATGACTTTTATTATGATATAATAATCTGATCAGAATTAGAAATTGAAGAATTAGTATAATACTGAAAATTGGATAACATTTAATTTTAACAATACTTTTACTAAACCTTTATATAAAATAAGTATAACTGTATTCTTTAACCTTATATTTTTATAGCTTCTGCAGTATTTAATATATTAAAGTTTTTTAAAGATAAACTATTGAAATTACTAAATGCTTTATTTCTGTTATTGATTTAGACTTTATTTTTTAATATTAACTTTAATTATTATACATAATATAAGATATATAATTAAAATATATTATTTTGTTTTTATTTTTTTAATTATTTACCAAGTATTATTAAAATTACTTTATTTTCTTTTATAATTATTATGCTAAATTTATTGTATTTTTTGAATTTTATTATAAAATTACTAGTAATCTTTATTTTTAAATAAAAATTTTATATATAATTTCTAATAATATATTAATTAATATTATTTTAATTAATAGAATTTAATTAATATAATATACTAATAAAAATAAGTTTAATTGCCAATCTGCCGGTTAATCAAAGTATTTGATTATAATTTAATAGTAAATCTTATGGCTAATTAAATATATTAGAAATAAAAATTTTAAATCTCAATTTTTTTATCTATTAAATTCTAATGTTAAAAATATAAAATACATCTTATTTTTATCAGTAATTTTATTTTAATGCTTTATTATAGTTTATATGTTAAAAACCGTAAATTTTTTTTAATCAAAAAATATCTGATGAAGAAAAACAAATAAACATAACTATAAGATTAATATGAAAGTTTATCTAGAAATTAATAAGAAGAAATTTATTGTTTATGTTATTAATACAAATAATAATATTAAATTAGGCTATATATGTGAATCAGACATTATTGTAAAAATTTATTTAATTGTGTCTAAAGTCATTAATGAAACTTACAAATATTTTTCAATACTAGAATATGATATTTATAACCTTTGATTATAGAATTTAATAATGAATATTTAACTAAATAATTAGTATCAAATATAATATTTTATTCTTTTAAAATATCAATTAATAAACTTTTAGTTTTAATTATAAAGTTAGGTATTTCAATGATGATTCTGATAATTTTATTAAATATCAATTAAGTTTTATATATCAATATCATAATAAATAAAGCTTTTTTATTCAAAAAATTAATAATAAGAATTGTCAATTTAAAATATTTTAAAATGAGAGATTAATTGTGAATTATAATAATATTTTACTGAATAATATTTAAAAGAAAGTAAGAGTATTGAAAAATTATGATAGAAAATTTTATTTAGAATTAATCATCTAAATACAATTGATGTATTAGAAAATTATATAAAATAATCAATTTGTAATATAATAGAGTAAGATAATATTTAGACAATAACATAAGCATTTGAGTAAAGTTTAAAATAGAAAATTGTTATTACTAAAATTAATTAGTATTAATTTTTTGATAAATAAAAAAAACAACAAATAAGCATTATAAAGTTTACTACTTATCTTAAGTCAAATTATTAATTTTTTGATTATGAATTGAGTTCTTGGTAAAGAATGATTAAGAATGTTAGTTATACTAATATAATACTATATATAAAAAAAGAATTTAAGGTTAGTTAATTTGTTCTAAATTATATAATAGTTATATTTTTTAAAAACACAAAAAAATCTAATAAAATATTATTTTTATCTTAGTTGAAATTTGAACATGTACTTTAAATTATTCTAATAATTGTAATATACTTTCATACTTATATATTATGAATTTGCTGAATATTATTTTTTATAATTTACAAGGTACAAAAACTGAGATTAAAAATAAAAAAATTAGAAAAGTTACTGATTAGTTATAAATGATTATCAATCAATTTTAGAAAAGTTTTAACAAAATAATTTAGAATAATAAGTATGAGTTTGATAAAAAGTAATGAATTCTATTTATAATTGCGGAGAATTTTAGACATAATAAAATTTAATGTGAATTACAAGTAATATAAATTATTTATTATTAAATTTAAGTATAATACTAATTTAAATATATTACCTTTTTTAGATTTCAAATGATTTAATTTGTGTTATAAAAAAATATAACTATATAAATAGTTTAAGATATTCTATGAAAAATAAACCTATTATAAAATGAAATTATATATTAAAATAAAAGATAGATTGTGTAATACATAATGAAACAACTTTTCAATTAAATGATAAATAAAAATCAGGTTAAAGGCTTAAAGATGAACAACCATTATGTAAAAAGGGTTAAGAACATTCTATTCATGTTAGTGATTTTTTAACAGAAATTATTGGAAGATTAAAATTAAATAAAATAATATAATAATTCTGCATAAAGCTCATATAATAATTAATCCTAAAAAAAATTTTGATGAATAGTAAAATATAAATTATTTGATTAATCAAGTAAAATAAATATATTATAAATTAATTTATAAAAATTATATTTTTAATATTATAATTATATATATAGATTAAAATCTAAGCAATTCTAATTTTTAAAAAAATATATTCTGGAATGATCAAAGTATTTGCATTTAATAATTTCTCTAGTTATGCAAAATCGGCTGATGATATTTTCAATGCAGTAAATATAAATCTTAATTCTGATGAAAAGTAACCAATTATATATAATATTATTTTTAATGAGCAAGTTTAAAGTATAGTATTTTCTGCTGATTATTCAAATGAAAAACTTTGTGAAAAATCTAAAGAAATGAAAATAATTTTACAAGAACGTAATTTATGAAAGCCAGAATTAAAAGGATTTTATGATATTAAGAAGTCATTATTAAAAAATCCAAAATGTTATACATATTATATTTTAGCAGCTTAAGAAAATTTCTTAATCAGAAACTAATTTTATAAAAAGTTATTAAAAGTTTAAAGCATAAAGTAATTTTTTATCCAAAATTTCATTATAAACTTAATAATATTGAAAAGTATTGGAAAGTTGTAAAATAATATATTCAATAATATTATAATTATATATAGAAAGGATTATAAGAAATAGTTCTAAAAGCATAAATTTAGTTTTTTGAATCATATACGTAAATATGCTCAAAAATTAGTAAAATTTATAAAATGTTATAGAAAAAGATTAATAGATTTGCAGGTTATATATGTTTTTAAAAAATATGAATCATATAAAACTATTTCAGATTTTATTTTTGAAAATATTGATAAATTAATAAAGTAAAATTTTTTACAATTTAAATTTTAATCAGATTTTAAATTTTAAATTTATTAAATCATATTAGTATATAATATAAATTTTAGCCAATTACAAATTAGTATTATATTTATCACATAATTATAAAAAATTTTAAATTTAAAATATACTTGATGGCTTTTTATGATACACACTATAGTATTGATATAGCATATATTTTAAATATAATCCTCTTTATATTTACTTATTTTATTTAAATTAATTGATTAATCTTAAGCTAACATTTCTAAAGATAAAACTTTTTTATTAATTACATTATTAGATAAGTTAAAAACTTCATGTTTTACATAATTTGAAATAGTATTATTAATAATAGATATAAAATCAAAAGGATCCTGAATTTTATCATTTATCTTTAGCTTATATAATAGAAGAACTGGATTTATAAAAAGATATTTAAAAGTATTCACTTTTATAGCTATTATTTCTTTTTAATTATTAAAATAATACCCTTCATAGGATTTTGATTAATTTGATATGAATACTTTCAAACTTTTTTTTCTTTAGATCCTACCAATTTTTGATTACTTTTTATAGTATAATTACACTAATTATCAAAAATTGTATTAATTATAGCTGATTTAAGATCTAGTATTTTTTTTGCATAAAATTTAAAACTAAAGAGCAATAAAGTTTAACTTTGAATTTCTATAAATCTATCACGAGATGTCTTAAATGCAACTTTTACCTGATCATTAGAGAGAATGTGCTTATCATCTATATATGTAAAACTAAATGATTGTAAAAATTCTTGTATAGTTTCTCAATGATTTGCTAAATATATTTTATATAAATCCTTTCTTACTAAATTCTCAAAATTATCTTTAGCATTATAATATATATCTTTTTATTATATAATATTTTTAGTCTTTAATTCTTTTATTACATTATCTTTATTATAACCTTGCTTGTAAAAATGAAATAGACATAAAAAATATTTTTTAACTTTAGGTAGACTAAAATATTCTACAAAATTTTTATCACAAAGTTTATTCCTATTCTTAATACTCATATTATTTCTACAGTAAAAATTTCACATATAAAAATGCTTAAATGTTATAATATCTACAACTAAACGTTTTAAATCAAATTTAAGAAATTTGGCTTCTTCAAGAATAAGATTTTGAAAGTAGTAATTAAGGTTGCTAGATAAAACTTAAAGGTTTTGTAAGTCATCTAAATGGAAAATGGTAAAATTTAGCAAAATTATATAAAAACTTATTAAAAAATCTGTGAAATTTTAAAAAAGATAAAATTATATTAAAGCTTATAAAAATGTAAAACTATATCAAAATCTTAGTAAAAAATTAGCAAAACTATAGTTTAGATATTTTGCCAAATTCAAAATGAGTATAGATAAATAACCTTAGTAGTAATTATCTCAAAATCTGTATTTTAATAACTAATACTTCAGCATTATGAACTTTTTTACAAATCTTTATAATTCCAATTTTATTTATTTAAACTTGCTCCTATACTAGCAATAAGGCTATATGAAATCTTAAATAAATTTCTTATTAAGAGATATTTTTGATGCTCAACCTCAATAAATGATATTACAGTAAATGATTGATCAAATTTATAGAAAATAATATCTTTATCCTATTCCCTATGACTTTTTATTACTATAGG